GTTGGTGATGAAGCTTAGGCTTCTACGTTGGGATTTGCTTTGATAAGACATGTGACATCGGGGCATAAATAGGATTAGATTGGGATGTTGTTTTTGTTAAATTATTTTGGAAAACTCAGTTTCATTTCCTTGTAATTTCTCTACATGTTATTTGGATTAAGTTTATGAATGTGAACTCTTTACCCTTATGTTGTTGGAGATTTGATTGTCTTATGTTGAAGAATTGTATTTTATTTTGTTTATTTTATATAATTACTATATATATATGTTGGGGGTAGAGGGTGTCACAACCGAAATTTATTAGTATCTATTTTGCGACTGATTTAACGATCGATTCTGAATAATCAAACAACGACTGATTTAGCGACCAAAATAAGTCGTTGCTAGAAAATCGGTCGCTATTTCGGTCGCTGCTTGATTGTGTTTCATGAACACAAAGTTTGCGACGGAACCAGCTACCAACTAGCTACTAAATTGTAAAAAACGTTGCGACTGAATTAAATTCGGTCGCTAAATAAGAAATTTTTATTTTTTTAGCGACGGATTATGTTTCAATAGCTACTAAACACAAAGCAATCCACCCTTTGCGACAGAATTGAATTCAGTTGCTAAATATTAGTTAAAATTAGCGACCGAATTCAATTCCGTCGCTATTAGTTAAAATTAACGACAGAATTCTATTCGGTCGCTAAATAAAACTTAAAAAAATATATAAATTGCTTAAAAGTGATGATAATATTGTTGTTGAGTATCAATCCTATTTTCTTTTTTTGTAAGAGAAAGAAATTAATTTATAATAAGAAAATATTTATATGCCCAAACGTTTCTTATGTCTAAGGTCATGCAAGGCAAGCAAGAGTTGAGTATGAGAACTTATGATGCATGCAAGAAGAGAACTTGCATATGCAATCATTATGCATGAATATCCACTTGCAATTATGGATCATCTTGGTTTTAAGAGATATTCGACTACTCTTCAATCACTGTTTCAATTTCCTAGTAGATACACAATGAAGAAATAGATATTTAAAATCTATGCATTTGAGAGATCAATTGCTTTAAAGTTGTTGGATAGCCTTCAAGGAAGAATGGCTATTACATCAGACACGTGGACTTTAAGTAATCAAAAAAGAGGGTATATGACGGTCACAACTCATTATATTGATGGGAATTGGAACTTGCAAATTCGTATTTTGAGGTAACAATTTTCTTTAACTTATTTGCACTACATATTATTTGTCATGTAATTGTTTGTATGATAAAGAAAACTATTATCTCAAAATACGACTTTGCAAGTTTCAATTCCCATCAATATAATGAGTTGTGACTGCCATATACCCTCTTTTTTGATTACTTGAAGTCCACATGTTTGATGTAATAGTCACTCTTCCTTGAAGGCTATCCAAAAACTTTAAAACAATTTCGCCACTTTGAATTAGGAAATTCAAGGATAAGAATCAAAAGTAGTTCCTAAGAACCTAGAGAGAGAAAATACTCTCAATTGGAAAAATATCCAAATTCTGAATAAATCATTTTTCTCCCCAAATTTTTACAAATGGTTCCTATTTATAAGCTTAGATGGGCAAGATGACATAAATTCCCACTAATTTCCCACTAACACTTAATATCCACTAGAATTGACTCCTCACCAGCCCACTAACTCATTAAATTCCACTAAGCCTAAAACATTAAATGTTGGTCTAGGTAACTTGGAAAGTCATCTGACTTATTTAATAAAATTAATAAAACAAAAATTACATTAAAAATAAGATAATGAACTTATTTAATTATTCAGCCCCAAACTACTTAAATTTCAGCCCATTATTTATTTATTTCCTAATTTATTTAATTCACTAACTACTGCCGAAACGTAAATGCTTCCTCCTGGGTCGAAGACATCTCGCTTGTATCCATCTCTAGCTTCACCTGTTGGTAAGTTATTAATCATCAATGAAACAAATAAAACCTCTTCAAACTCATAACCACAAACGTACTCAATGAATAGGAATTGAATCCCATTCAAGTGGCAGCTTTGGAAAATAGTAACTTCAAACAACAAATCAACTCCATTTTCCAGGTGCAAGGTCTCTTGAATTTTATTTTGAAAGGTGGACTGAATGTATAAAGGTGCATTAGGAATGATGTTGACATGCTTCTTCAAAAAGGAAAACTTGTCCTCCTGTTCCTGTAAATTTGATACATCAAAAGAAGAAAATGTAACGTTAGAGTTGTCATCTTCCTCACTATGTATCTCATCTTTTGCTCTCATCTTCTCTTCTCTTTCTTTTTCTATCTTTATTTTCAATTTCAGTTGATCCTCATGTTCAACGTCGATTGATCTCCACAATTAAGCGTGCTTGACTTGGAGTAATATAGGGATCAGTGACCTTCTGGGAAGTTTCCCAGAAACCTTGTAATTAAGGACAAAACATGCTAAAAAGTGAATTATTGTGAAATAGAATCCATGAGAGGCCAAATATGAGTGATTTATAGCGATCGAATTTGAGATGTCTATAAAATTTAATACAATAAAAATAAATATTTAGCGACTGATTTATTCGGTCTCTAATTTAGTCCCCATACACATTAGTGACCAAAATCATTACAACCATTTTGCGACCAAAATTTTCGGTCGCTAAATAGCGACCGAAAAATTTTTCGTCGCTATATAGCTTTGCAACTAGGGCTTTTGTGACTATTTAAATCTGGTCGCTAATTTCGTCGCTAAGGTAAATAGCGACCGATTTTAGCAATTTAGCGACCGATTTTGGTGGTCGCTAAATGTCATATTTTTTGTAGTGGGTTAAATGATTGTTTAGTTACTTATATAGAGAGAGGTTTTTGATAGTATTGAAAATGAGCAAATCATTCAATATTTTCAAACTATGAAAACTCATAGAGAACAATTATGATATGTATTTGTCTTTATAGAAATTTTATTTTATATTTTGACAAATTTATGTCTTTAAATATTATCCCCACTTTTTAAATTTTCTGGATCCGTCACTGGTTCACTCCATGTAGATCTTCACAAGGTGGTACACTACAACCGTGGGAAGGCCCAGAAGGTGGAATAGGCCCTTTAGGGAGAACATGGAACTCTTTGGCTTTAATATTGTTAACAACATATTTGGGGGGAAGAGCTCTAACATCATGAACAAAGGTAGTTGGAGGATTCACTTCATGCAGATCTTCACAAGGTGGTACACTACAACCACGGGAAGGCCCAGAAGGTGGAATAGGCCCTTTAGGGAGAACATGGAACTCTTTGGCTTTAATATTGTTAACAACATATTTGGGGGGAAGAGCTCTAACATCATGAACAAAGGTAGTTGGAGGATTCACTTCATGCAGATCTTCACAAGGTGGTACACTACAACCACGGGAAGGCCCAGAAGGTGGAATAGGCCCTTTAGGGAGAACATGGAACTCTTTGGCTTTAATATTGTTAACAACATATTTGGGGGGAAGAGCTCTAACATCATGAACAAAGGTAGTTGGAGGATTCACTTCATGCAGATCTTCACAAGGTGGTACACTACAACCACGGGAAGGCCCAGAAGGTGGAATAGGCCCTTTAGGGAGAACATGGAACTCTTTGGCTTTAATATTGTTAACAACATATTTGGGGGGAAGAGCTCTAACATCATGAACAAAGGTAGTTGGAGGATTCACTTCATGCAGATCTTCACAAGGTGGTACACTACAACCACGGGAAGGCCCAGAAGGTGGAATAGGCCCTTTAGGGAGAACATGGAACTCT